TGTGTGTGTGTGCGCGTGCGTGTATTGATGTGTAAACATGCATTAAGATCTGTGTAATGTTACTCCGAGACCCCGGCCGGTCCCGCTGCGCGGCGCGCGCGGCGCTTTCCCAGAGCCGCTGTTTGCAGGCGGCCGATGCGGTTCAAGTAGATCTGCGGCATGGGAACCCGGAGCGTCCTAATTCTGAATGGGTTCTTACCGAAGCTACTACGTAGTACATCTGAGTCTGAGGGGTTTTGGGGCTCGGAGCTTTGGAGTCGGTTGTGAGTGGGGGCAAAAGGACATCGCTTGTCAACTCGACGAATCGAGATTTCAGGCCAGCTCAGGCGTTTACGGCCCTTCAGGCACAACCCGTATACAACCTGGCCGCTTCAGGTGCTGCGAACTCGAAGCCTCTGTCTCAATTCACACCAAAGCCGCAAGCACGATGGAGTCAACTCCTGCATGGCTGACAAGACCCAGAATTTTGGCACGGGACTCTTGCCTCCAAGTTTGCGGGGGCGGACCTGGGCAAAATGTGTAGGCCTCTAGCCTTGAGAACTGTTTCCGGGGGCTTCGTACTTCCTGCAGATCCTTCAAGAAGGCTTTGTGCAGGCTTTGTGCCTCTAGCTTCCTCCCTGGCGTTGACTGTTGAGGGCTCGGTTTCGGATTCCCAGGGCCGAGGGCCGAGAGGACCGGGAGGGCACACGTTTGCCCAGGGCTTGGCCGCCTGGCGTGGCACTCAGGCATTAGCCCATCCCTTTAAGCTGGGAGCCTCCAGGAGATCACCGGGCGACTGGCAGATTGAAGCTCTGCAGCTTTCAGATCACAGCACTGGAAATCCTGTACAGTATCAAGACGCAGGGAGTGCTTTTTGGCCTTTATAACGAGTCTGGGCTGCGGGCACATGCACCACCAAGGGCACGCCCGGCAGCTCCAGATCCTTTACTGCAGCATCCGTAGTGATGAGGATCTGGCTGGGCAAAGTCCGGAAGAGTGCGAGGATCTCCTCACTAGCACGAGAGAGCACCACCACTTCTCATAGTTCAGAGTTGATGTTCTTGGGCGTACCGCCCTAAGGTTTTCGAGGGGCAGTTCAGGCTTCAGGATGTTTTCACTCAGCGCGGGGCCTACACGCAGGTACAGCGCTGAGGGGCAAGGATGCTGGGCATGGCAAATAACAATAATTGAAACTGCTAGAGTGCAGGGGCAGTTTCGGCAATCCACTTCGACAATGTTGAGGATCGGAACGTCGAAACTGAAGCCCGAGTCCGAGTTGTCCACAGGCCAACTAAGTGGCGAAGCGGCCTCTAAGGCCGGAGGCCCTTAAAACAAAAGGCTGGCTACGAGGCTCTCCGGCTCCACATTGACACTGTGATCACCCCATCCAAACCACCGGCACACCGAAAGAACCTTTCGTGTAGCCTCCTATAGTTGGGAACGTTTCGACTTGGGCACAATGGTTCAGGGTATGGTACTTCGGACAGAATGCCAACATGCGAACCTCGGAGAGCCATTCTCCGACCTTTTCATGCGAAAGAAGCTCCTGCTGCTCTGCAGGTGCCAGGCCTTCGTGGAGGCACCTCAGGTAAAGCAGCGTTTGATTTGTTCGTAATCTGAAGATTTAGAACATGAACTCCGAGCTGCCATGCCTAGACATAGGTCCTAGGTTCTGCAGAATGACGCCTCAAGGAAGCATGACCCTGCAAGACGTTGAGTCGACTGCTTCAAAAGCCAGGCAAACCGCCCGAACCCGCTCAAACCTGAGAACCTCAAACCGGAAAGCAAGAAGCCAGAAGCCAGACCCTAATCCCGAAACGTGAGCCCTAAACCCTAGATCGCGGATCCCAGGCACCTCTAAAACTTGAATGCCCCAAAAGTACCTGAAAGGTCAAGAGGCAGAAGGCGTTGGCGTAGCATGGCGTGGCCAGAGAGTAGCGTGGCCTCGGCCTTCGAGGGGACGAAGATCAAGGCCTCCAGGAGCAGATCGTGGGACCCTTTTGGGGGGCTTTGTATTACTTAAGATTTAAGTTGAAGGATGTAGTGCAGCTTGGCTTTTCAAGGTTCTATTTGTCGGTTTGATCTTTTAGGGCACTAGGGTAAGAACTCATTGGGCTTTCTGTTGAGGCTTACTTAGGTGCAGAAAAAGGCTTTCAGGAGCCGGGGTGCAGAGGGTAGGAACGGCCGTGGTTTCGGGCCAGGTTCGAGAGCTGGCCTGCTGAATTTGGTGAAGGCCTCTGGAACTCACAAAACCTAGCTATCCCAAGCTGCAGGAAGTCAAAAACCGCGCAACGGAAAGCCTTGGACCTCTGAATTGGAGAGAACTTCCTCTTTTGGAAGTTCGCTTGTCACCCTTGTCACCCTCAGACTTCAACCCTCACAGTTTGATGTGCACCCAGAGACTCTCCTTCTCCGGCTTGGTCTCTTCCTTGGAGTCCTTCTCCTCTTTGCTTTGGGCCAGAGAGCCCCCGCCCTACGAGCAACTCGAATCCCAAAAGCTTCGAACTCGGCATCTACTCCAGGACTGCCGGGATATCACAGTGCAGCTGCAAGCGAACACCACCGCTAGATACCGCTAGCTTCTTTCAGTTAATTTTTGAGCACCTGCCTATGCAGGTCTCCTCCGTCTCCCCCGTCAGGTCTTGGTCCAGCATGTGCGCCAGCAGCCTGCAAACCAGATTCAGCTCCTCTTCCTGAACGTTAAACCCCACAAATCCCGAAGTCGAAGTCCTTCACCTCCCGTGATACATCCTTCTACTCGTTTTCTAGCCGTGCTCGCCAAGGGACCTAATCCTCCAAGGAAGCCCCAAACCCCTGATGCCTTGCCCTTCGCGTGGCACTGCCGGGCACCTGCGCTGCGTCAGATGCTGGAGGGACAGATCAGATCTCACCACGCCTTTCGGGTTGGGGATGGTGGCTTTCTTGTGTAAGAGATCACGGTGAGACTTGTTTCAACCCACCAAAGCTGCCTCGACTCCTCAGCTCCAGAAAACCTTCTTCAGGCCAAGATAGGCTCCGAACCCGAGGGTCGCGGCCTCACACAACATGTGCCTCGTCGAGAGTGGCAGAGCTGGGCGGTTGCCTCGTAGGCCGGAAGTGTGTCGCGCTTCGAAAAACCCTTAAACCTCGGAGTCTTTGCTCGTTCGCTCTTTACTTCACTCCCTCAACCTCTCACTTGCTCGCTAGACTTCTCAATCGATTACTCTTGGCCGACTCTCGGAGTCATTCGATACTGAAGAATCGCCCTCATTCATCGATGTATTCCATTCCTGCGACGGCGGCAAGCATTTTCATCCCTTTGCTCTCCTCCCTGAAACTTGGCTTGGCACATCCACTGCAATCACATCGCGGATTAGATTCGTAACTTTCTCATTTTGGGCCGGGCCCAGCATTTGCACCAGAATCACCCTCCACTTCCGGTGCCTAGCGAGTTGACCAAGATGGGTTCCCGCAGGTAGGCACCAAGCTCCTCCTGGAGCAGAAGCATGAGCTGCGCGCCGCAAGCTTTCGGAAAGTTTCACGAGTGTGAGCTTGCGGACTTCGTCGCTTGGGTGTACTGGGTAAGAGTCAAGCTGCGTGCTAGTACAGAGCAGCATCCTGAACCCTATAGACCCTCAAATTCCGTGGGCCTCAGTTGATGATTTGAGGGCAACACGCCAATCAAGCTGAGATTTCCTTTGGCACTCGTCACGGCCTGATTGGAAGCTTGTGTGCCCACGACCTGGCCCCGATTCCAATGGGTCTTATACGGTCAGCGAGCAGGTCACGCCTCAACCCATTGAGGAGAGGCATCAGTGAAGACCAAGGTCCTGAGCTGCGGTCAAGATGAAGCCGTTTTTCTGTTCGGATCTGTGCGGTCGCAGGCTTCAGGCTCTGGAAACTCGACAAACAACTTATCAACATAAACCACCCTCTGATCCCCGGCTCCGTGTCATGCGTTCCACCGAGGCTCTGCAGCTGGCTGTTGTGCAGGGAGCGAAGGATCCCTGCAAGGGAGTTCACTTTAGGTAACTTGAACGCAGGTTTGGTGCGCTGTTTCTCGGCCCTGCTTGGAGTTCTGGTGACGCTCCTAAGTGCGCAGAGACTGTCTTGTTGTCTTCCTAGGGACTTGATGAGTCTAGAGCTGTGGAGCTTCAAGAAGTTTTGGGGATGGAGGTTTGGATACTGTTGGAGGTCATCTGTTGCCACCGTTCTGGCCGAGCTCTTACCGGCAAGTGGAATCAATTGGAGACGAAAGCAGGAAGGAAGCTCTTCGTTTCCTGGTGGCGACAGTTGCCCGGGCCGGGAGCCCCAAACCCGAGGACTCTGAACCCGCTCCGGTCAACAACCGGCCTTGCAGCTCTTTGCGAGGTCGCATCTTCAGCCTGCGGACGTCAAAGGAATTGGGGCTCGACATCGGGTCTGGAGCCATCGGATGATCTCGGATGTGAAGTCTTCGGGAGCTGTGGATTTTTGAGCCTTAGAACGGAGGGGGCAGGGGTACTTTGCGGCTGCTTGCTGATCAGGTGCATGCAGGTTCTGATGATGGTTTGGGGTTTGGTGAATTCTGGGGCCCTTGGCTGGTTCAGAAAGGTGCTCTCGTCATCACAGCATTGACGTTGCTCTAGTTGTCACGCAGCTTTCCGTTCTCGGGAACCTTGCAGATTCACTAGCCCCCAAAATCCCAACCTCTCACCCCTACAAAAAGCTCCGAGACTCAAACATCCCGATTTCGCTGCAGCCGCGTCACCCTTGCGCGCCGTCCAGGACAATTGCATGCACCTGCACAGCCAGGCGCTTGCTTCAGAGGGTTCCGGTCTGGATTGGATTGGGCCGGGCTTCGCGGGATGTGACTATGATGCGGTCTTCTGGGTCGATTTCAAGCTTGTCGGGCAAGCGATCCCTGCGGCGTGCATTGTCTCGGGTCCTCTATACGCAAAAGCAATCAATGCCTGGACCAAAAGCAGCACCTGGCTTGCCCCGCAGGCTTACCGGTTTTTCTACAGATTTCATGTCTGCGCAGAAGTGACTTCTGACATGCGACCTTCATCTCGCAACAATCTTGTGGACAAAGTCGCACACACGTTTTCTATCTGCTTCGAAGCTCCACCTGTTGGCCACCTTGAACTCGGTAAAAATCGACACGCTACCAAACCCATCAGCACCGCCAAGTTTTTGAAAGGAAAGCCTCCAAGCCAAACCCAACTCCCAAAACTGCACAAAGTCCAAGAGTCTGGCCTTGGTTCCCTCGAGGCCCTGGGTGCCCACCAGGTTCTGGCGCATGCTTGGCGCAGCTGTGCAGGTGCGGCTGGTTCCGGATCATCAAAGTTGCAGCTTACAGGGGCTTCGCTACAAGCTAGCATCCCATCAGTGCTATCAAAGCAACCATTACCCATGCCCTCGATGGCAAAACCGTCCACAAAGGCTTGCACCCAGCCAAGCATCAAGCGACAAAGCACTGCACTATGATCATCAACTCGAGACCCGGAACCGGTACCCAGACACCGACGGAAACAAACAGAGAGAACACAACAAACAATCAAAAATGCCGCGGCCGCACCCACAGCTGCGAGGCTGTAGCCACGACTAGGTGCGCCCCGCGCCGGAGCAGCGCCTGGGCTAAGCCATGCCAGTGCGTCCGGGTTTCGGATGTTTGGTGTATCCCAATCCGATTCGGTGTTGTCATGATGTGGGCTTGAACGAAGTATGACTTCGAGAAGGTTTGTCTTGTCTGGATCTAAAGGTTTAGCACCCGTTTATGGGTTCTTTCGACTTCGGTCTTCGGAGTTGCAACGCTTCTGGTACAAAGGTCATTTGAGTTCCGGGACACAGCGTTGGAGCTGAACCAAAATCGTGGGCCACCGAGCCTCAAACTCTTTCGACTCTTAACCCCCAAGCCAGAATCGCTGCAGGACGGCGCGCTGCGCTGCAATCCCCTCGGCACTGCCTCGTCACCACAGGAAGTGGGAAAGCTCGTGTGCTGGCTCTTCTCCCTGCGGTTGGATGTTCTGTGGGGTTTGGCAGCTGCACTGCTCGAACCTGTCCGGAGAGCTTGTGTTGCTTTTTCGTTCGAAAGGTGTTGGCGGGGGTTCGCCCTCGAGGCAGCCGTTGTCTATCGTCGGATTTCGGGAGCTCATTGCTACTAGTATAACTGGAATCGACGTTTTTTTGAGGGTCTATGGGGTAGCTCTCCTGCTCTCCCGCCTCCTTCACGGAGGAGGATCGTACGAAGGGACCACTTACCTCGCAAGGCTTGGGCTCGGAGGGCTCATGGCTTGAATGCCAACCAGAATAAGTCCTGATTGGGTGTGCTCCGATCCAAGGATTTCGACCACCGCACAGCACCAAGGTATTATAGAATTGCACACCCCGATCCTTTCAGGGCTCGGAACCCGAACGCCAAATCCCGATTCATACATGCTGCTTCCAACGAGAAACCTGCCAAAAGTTACACACTGAAATGAAGGCACCCGGGCCAGAATCTCTCATCATGCACCGCAAGGATTGCCAAGCGGCGAAGTGAATTCGCCAAGACGTAAACTTTCTCCTCGGAAAGCGGCGGCTCGCTGAGATCCGAGGTCTCATGCGAGGCTCCTCTCTTGCAAGCCTGAGAATCTGCCCCAGAAACCCCCAAGTGCCGCTTTAGACACCGAAGACCAAGGTTCAACTCCCGCGCAGAGGCTCCAACGAGGACCAAACACCGCCGAGACCCCAAATCCCGAACACCAAATTGAAACCCTCTGCAACACTGAAGAGATGCTCAACCTGAGGATCGCAACCTTACTACATGCCAAGACCCCAACCTCCGCAAAATCCTCCACATCCCAGCCATGTCCTAAACCAGGCGTCTGCCAGAACTCCGCTAGGCTCCACGATGATGGCAGCCTCATTGGGCGCCCACCTTGGATTTAGTACGTGGGCAAATTTTGCTGTTGCGGCTTTTCTGTTGCGGTTTAAGCCTTTACGCTTTAGGCTAAGGGTTGCTGGCTTGGAACGGAAAGGCGTTTGAGTTCACGGATTGGGAAAGAGTAGGTGTGTGCAGTTTAAACGGGATGACAGCTAAGGGTAAGCCTCAACCATCCCGGGTAGCTTCCAGGTTGCAGCTGCCCTGCTGCAGAATCCTGGTCTCAATGCCGCGCCTGTCCTACGCCATCAAAGCCCTCCAGTCCCAAACCCCGATTTCAGCACACAGACGCAACACAAAACCGAAGCGCTTTTTCAAAACCCACCCGGAGGGCCCCTCCCTCCAACTCGGCTCCACAAAGGAAACCACCCCTAGTAGGTTTCGAAATACTCCAAACAAAGGTGGTTTGGGGGAGTTTGCGGGGTCAAGCCCTCCCTTGCCCGCAAATTGCGCCGGGTGGCCGCTCCGTTTTGGCGCGGTCGAGGAGAGGAATCCTTGTGGTCTTGGGTCTTGGCATAAGTGCAAGTAGGCTAGGGTGCAGGGTCGGGTCAGGGCTTATGGGGCGGAGCGTTTGGGGCTTCAGGGGTTCGGAAAACAAGGCTTTCAGAAGTTGGCTCACTCTGGGGATCGGCGTGTCCATCGGTATGTGTGTCAGGTCAGGTCGTTCTTTTACCACTCTTCAACATCATGGTTTGGAGAAGTGCGTTTCCATCTGTGTTGGACAACGCAGCCAAACAGATTGCAGGGGTTGGTGAATTCAGGCACGTGCTTTCCAAGGTTGAGGCTTTGAGTTTGCGAGGCTGGAAGCAGCCTCAGAGTGAGGGCGAGGGACGGGATTTCTTGCAAAACTATGCAACAGCGGCTGTCGCCGAGCGATGGAAAGCCAAGGGTCAGGTAGGCCAACAGTCGCGCTTTGCCTGACAGGTCGCAGAGTCGCACCGTCACTAGCTTGAATCGAATCTCCTAAGCACCGCCTCGCTCCGAGATGCCGATCACGTCGCGTCCCTCGACGATGGGTTTGCAAACCTGCACACTCGGTGAAGTTTGGGAGTCCATTTTCTTCTTGGCCTTCGGCTCGCCTCAACCATGGGCCTGCATGAAAGTTGTGTGCTCCTGAACTGCCACAGCAGCAAGAAGACACACACAGCAAACGCCTAGCACTGAAACCCAATAGAACCCCTGCGAAAAGATGCGAAAAGTACCTCAAACATGAAGCAGGAGGTAATTGGGGGTTGAAATTTGGCGCAGATGCCTTCTTCTGCAGCTCGGTGGGTGCCACCAGGCCAAGGGCCTCTTTCTGATCTTTGCTTACGCAATTTCTGTTCGTGAACTGCCTGTTAACACAAAGTGCTGTCTACCACGAAATAAAGCAACATAAATCGTACCGTTGAATTGAGGTCGCATGCACGTAGAAAATATCAAGAAGCCGCCGCAAATCAGATCTGCATGAACGGTATTTCTTCGCCCGCATGGATTCGCGTAATACCGCTCAACAAGCCCAAGAAGCATAGACTTCCTACGCACGCCGAGGTCTAGCAAGGAATAATTACGTTAAGGCTGTTGAGGCTGTGAAAGGATACATATACGGTTCAGGATATCGTAATTACGCTGAGTTGCTACTGACAACACTCCGATCTACCCATCATAAAAGAAGGCTTCGTGCACGGTGTTGACCCTGCAGTTGCCAAAGCCCCTTTGTCGATCGCCTGTTCACTCGCCTTAGCCTGTGCCCGGACCTCCCCGCAGTACAACAAATACTTGAAGGGCCGCGCCCATGAACCCAAGCCTAGCCTCTAGAAAAAAAATTGCAGAAATGCCTTGAGCCGCGCGTTCATTCCGTTGCTGACTGGAAGCCGGCCCAGGGGACGCCTCTCCTTCAAGCGAGCATGCTTGAGTTTCGGATTGGGACCTACAGGACCTACAACCTCTCTCAAGAAAAAATCGATGGTCCTCTTGCTCGGCCTCTTTTTCCAAAGTCACGGGATCCAGCCCAACCCACATGGCATGCATGCGAGGAGTCTGAAAGTCGGCAATGATGCCTTGCTCTCGTGTCAGCCCCGCCAAGACCCCAGGACCATCTTATGACCCGAAGCCGGCTCCTTGTGGGCATCAGATGAGGCAGCAAGATAACCTGGCCGGCTCCCATCACAGAAGACCCTTGTCTTTTGCAGAGCCCACAACGCAACAAGTTTCTCCGAGTTCAGACCCGATGGGGGCGGGTGCAGACGTCTGGCCTCTGAGAGAATTCAGCCTGCAGCCTCACACGCACACCGTGCACACCGCCACGCACCCTTCCACTCCCAGTGTGGCCAACCATGCACGGCACACGGCGCTGCATGGGGAGCTGCCGGACAGCTGCTCGGCCGAGCATTGGGCCGCAGGTCTATGGCTTGACAGCTTCGGTTCTGCTTTAGAAAAGATGTAAGTTTGGAGAAGTGTGCTTAAAACACTTGGGGTCGCTTGGGTCTTCAGTCTGGTCTTTCGTTAAGCATGCAAACAGAATAGTAGGCCGAGAAGTTTAGGGCTGGAACAGGTAACTCGAAATTCTTTGCGGTCTTCACCACGTGACGAGATTGTGGGACATGGGGTCATGCTGCTACACGACTTTTTGCTTATTTGGGGAAGCCTGTTCCTCATTGGGCAACGGCGCTGCAAGCCGCAAATGGCTGTGTAAACGGTACTCCAAGCTTGCAAGTTTCGGGATGCCGCAAGCAGGCCAAGAATGAAGCTCCACCACAGGAAGAAGCTGGAAGATCACAGACCAGCAATGACCAGCACAGCTGTAGCAAAACCAACTGTGGGCACAGTCCAAGTCTAAACCCAAAGCATCTGCGAAAGTAGCACACCCTGTCGACCATGCACGGTGCGTTTCAGTCGGACACACGCTGCACGAGCGGAGATACTGGTACTATCAGACTGACAATTGCAGTCCTAACCCGCTTGTCATGAGAGAAAGCTCGCAGGCGCTGATCGGGCCCTGTCATTTGGCTTAAGGCTCTGCGAGCAATACAAAGCCCACAGTGCCCTTCGCCTTCCTAAAAACAAGATATTCTTGTCCTGAGTCCTACGGCGCAAACATCAGGCCAAAACCATAAGCTGCTGGATCTGTTGGGCCATCAGCCCTGCAGCAAAGCCCAGGCTCAGCGCGAGAGAACGCGTGAGCGCTTGTTCGCCACTTCCGGCTCCTGGTGTGGTGGTGGTCGTCATGGTAGTAATGGAAGCTGGTGGTAGTAGCAGTAGCAGCAGTCGTCGTCGCTGTAGCAGCAGCAGCAACAGCAGCAGCAGAAGAGGAAGGCAGCGGTGGCTGCTGGTGTTAGTATGATGACCATTGTCGTGGCTGCTGCTGCTGCTGTCTGGATTCACGTAGTGCTGGTTAAGTACCTAGACTGCAGAGGAATCCTGGTGGGACAGCGGTCCTTTTCACAATGCGTCTGCTCCATTGCCTTCTTGGCCAAGGCTGTGACAGCCGCGGCACAATTTCCTAGCAGTTTTCGGTTGAAGATTGAGCTGGAGAATTCAACATTTAGGCTTCACGTGCTCCGGTGTTCAGGCTCATGTTTCAAGGCTGGCAGTTCAACCTGAGAGAATGGTCTCAGAAGTACGAGGTGCGTGCCAAGAGAACGAACCGTCGGTCGAAAGTGGTAGATTCCGAGAGGGAGTGTCAGAACGAACACGAGGCAGTGCTCGTCGCTGCGGCAAATGTTGTCATCATGATCAAAACCGAAACAGCATTATCGGGGACAGTGACGACGCCGACTGTCCCAGCACGCACAAGCCGGTGGAGTGCCACGACCCTCGCCGCCTGAAAACACTCTGCTGGCCTGCACAAGTTCTCGGCATCATCTCCTGGAGGCAAACCCTTCAAGTTCTATCCATTCCCAAAGAACCCGCCTGGGTGAGGATGCCTGCTTCTGCGAACCCTCCAAACCCAAAACACGGCTTTCAAAGCCTGAGCTCCTGCGGAAGTTTAGTAGCTAGCACGATGTGTCGATTGCGAAGCTTGCCTGAGGTATGCTCAGCCCTGGCACATCTAACCCCTACGTGAAGCCTTTGCCCTGCGCCCTCGAAGCCGCAACAAGCTGCATGAAATGCATTGAGCAGAAGCCGACTGATTAGCTCGAATCGATCTGCTACCCAGCGTCGCTTCTTCGGGGCCGCACGCTTCTTCGGCGTTTCCTTCGCCCCCACAGCAGTTTTCCGGCGATCAGGCGTCCGCATCTGGGAGCAGGATACTGAATGGCTTATGCTGTACATGGGCATGCTAGGCTTAACCCAGTGTTCGAGTGTTTCGAACAGTTGATATTCGCGGGGGGGGGGGGGGGGGGGCTNNGGCGTCAAAACAAGGTCCCGGAACACCACATCTCGAAAAGCCAACAATGTTCATCACGAGTTTTGCTCGGGCACTGCGCCTGGAGCCGAAATCTTGGATCCCACAACAACCAGGGGCTGTTGAGCCTAGATTTTCTGAGTGACTTTGGCCGACCTTTGTCGGAGAGGGAGCTGAGCATCCAAAACTACTGCCCGAGAACTGTCTGTCTACAATGCTCACCTCAGAGTCCGAAATCTGGAATCTAAATCCGTAGCACTGCAACAGAAATGTTCAAGCCACCAGGCCACTGAACCCCTCGACCCCTGTCAGTAGAGCCTCAAGACAATTGCTTGAGGATTGCAGGCAACCGACAATCCTGACAGGCATCCACAACGACCCCCCATAGCACGGCCTCTTCAGTTGTTTGAGCTTTCACCTGCCACATTGAAGAAGAATCCGTCTTAAGACTCTAAACCACAGGATCAGAAAGAGCTCACCGCGGCATGAGCGAAAGTGACCCAAGCTGCTTAGCGGCCTCCGGAGATGTTGCTGGGCAAGAGTAGCCGCTCTTCCTGCCAGCAGAGACAAATAAAAGGATTGAAAAGCTGCGGCAACTCGAAGCCGCGGCTTTACGATATTGTGGGGGTCGTTGCTGTCAGGTGTGCAAGATTTTCCTGGTGCTGCAGCAGCTGCACGTAGTGATACAGTCTCTCCAAACGCGATACCCTGTCCATGCTTACCTGGTCGATTGCGATGCGCTTCACAGGAAGCACCTCAAAAAGCTTTGCCTCAACAAAGCTAAAACTTACATGCTGCCTATGTTTGTACGGCATGGCTAGACATGGAAGCTTCTTGTGGCAGCTTGATACAACAAAGGCGACTTTCAACTGCCCCCAGGAAACGAGGTGCTGTTTGAAGTGCATTTGCACAGCAGCAACCCGATGTTGCAAGTGCAAGGTGAAATTGACCACTGTAAAAAGCAATGATGGCAGTCATGCTCCATACCGCTTACCTCAAAAGCAAACCATATGAACGATTCAAAACATGAAGTTTCATCCAGACGTCGCGTGCCAATCCGAACCTCTGCAAGTCCTTGACCACACCCTTTGAGGCACTCGGAGTGGCCTTCCACGCAGCAGCAGGCTCTGTCGCACTGGGCTGGCGACCCTGCAGAAAACGCAGGTGCAAAGAAGTCCGGGATCGGGATTCCAGACTTGTTGGTCTTGTTGCCTTATGCTGTTCGTATCTACGGCCTGTCTCATGCAACGGTCCCGGTCCCGTAGGTGTGAAACATGGCCTTTGTGCTTCGCCTGCCTCTCTCACAGCTTCGGTGTAAGGTTTAGAAAAGCATACAAACAAGTCGACAGCTACGATAACTTCAAGCTTGAGTTTACCTAGGCCTGAACCCCAAGCATCCACCAGCTGCAGCTCAGGTGACGACTGGGAAGGTGCTGGTGAACTGGTGCCCATCTGTTCAGCGCTGCCTTGGCAAGAAGGTTTGTGCGTGCTTGGGCGGGAAGGGGTTGGCTTCGGGTGTTTCTCGTCCATCGGCGTCCCAACACCAGTCGAGAGCTCGAGCTCAAAATCGGAAATTCCACCCCTCCATCAATCGACAAATAAGGAAAGAGGTGCACAGAATTGCCTGCAATCTCAGGCCCAAGAACCCAACGAATACCCGAAAATCCCATCACCTCAACTCTCTAAATCCGACTTAAGCTTCACGAGTCAAAGCCCGGAGAATTGCTATTGCCGGCCTTGCTCTCGAGTGTCCCAGGGCTCTGGAATTTGACCGAGTGTCGGCTAGCGGTCGCGGCGCTTGCTACAACCAGTTACGGGACTGAAAGGGTTCTAGCGCCGAGGTCAGAGATCAAGTTCAAGTATGGGTATCCTGGGTTGGGTTGAGGGTGTCGAGATCAGACAAATCTGAGGATTTGCACGGCCGGACGGCGGTTCTAGCTCCCAAGGGCCGAGGCTGTTGCTCGCTTCACCCTGAGAAGAAGTGGACGATGCTGACACCTGTCAGTGGGGTCTCGTACTTGCGGGTCAGGCCTCAGGGCCTAGGACTAGGGACAAAGTCGAATCACGGAAATGGGCGCTTGAATAAGCGGTCGTCTCACTGGAGATGAGAGGATAGTATCCTGATATCGCAATCGCAGCTCCCGTCAAACGCGGGGTGAGTCCGTGATGATCATCTGTAACAGGTTGACACTAAAAACTCAAGAACCACACGATCAACCCGGATCCGCAATGCTCGAGGGATCGTTGACATGCCACTGTACATTGTACATGCGACCTGCTTCTTTCCGTGTTTTCCACAAGGTTCAAGCAGGGAGATCATGTAGTGTAAGAAAAACCCTGAGAACTGCTCGGACAGCGAATTCCAGGCAGGAGGGTGGCTGAAAGGAACTGGGCGTAATCGTAAAGACACACAGAACCATCGCCTTGCTACTTCTTTTGAGCGCGCGGCTGCTGCAGCAGCCATGCTTGCACTGATTGTGTCGGGGCTGGATTGCTGCGAACCACTCGTGAGCTGCAGAGAGTCAGGGAAGGCTTCGCAGTCCCGAAACTTCAATGTCTTAGGCATGCGGGCTGGGCTTGGGCTTCAGGATCCGAGAGCTGGAAGCAAGAAACTGTGAAGGCACACAATCTGATGACCTAGGCGACGTGTACTGGTAGCTGAAAAAGCTGGAATCTGGTGATTAAGAGGCATAAGCAGATGAGATGTCACGGAGTGTCGTGGCCCTTCGAATGCTCATCCGAAGCAATAGATTCGGGCACAGCCGGACAATAGCCTCATTTTGCCTGTGCGAGCAGTCAGGCGCTGGCTGTACAAATGTGTGGCGCGAGATGCGCGCCCTGAAAATCTGGCTAGGACCAGCATTGCAGCGTCTTTTGGAGTTCTACTGGGTGCAGCATGCGCACGTGAGCAAGGTATCTATCGACAAGAAGAGCGACCCTGATTGCCACGGCTACGCCCTGATAGAGTTGCTCGGAGCTACTGCCTTGGCTTGGGCTTTCTGACATGTAGCTGGGCCGTACGCCCGTGCGCCCTGAAACGAGGAGCTGACCTAGGCGTTGGGACTCCAGGGACTGAGAGACACAAGGCTTTGGCATGCCGAGGCTTTGGCCTTCTGGTTTCATGCTGCATTACAGTGTGTTTCAAGAAAATGCGCTCTCTTCGCACGACGATACAACTACTTTAACCTGTCACCCACCAAACCGTGGCATATCATGTTCGGCTGGTTGACGTTTCCCTCGGTTGTTGTACCTGCATGAGCGAGTGCATGCGTGCTGGGGCGCTCTTTCTCGGATCCTACAGCCTGGCAAGCAGGCAAAACATACTATGTACACATGCGCATCCTCCTCATCTCACAGCCTCAGCAGCACACACAGCACACCATGCAAGTTGGAGAAACAACACGAACACTGCGACTCTGAGCCCGTGGAAGCTCAGATTCAAAAGCTCTGGCTCGCTTAAGATGGAGGTCGGTTGGACTGCAGAACCTTCTCTCTCGACCCACAAGCCTTAGAAGCCAAATTTCAAATTTACCTCCCTGGGCTAGAGACACTCAAGCACCATTCCCACAACTCTGGAACACACAATGAGTAAGCCTTGAACGATAAAAATCTTGGGCGGTGGCGGCGTCCGCTGGTGGCTCTTCGAGATAGAAGTCAACCCAGCACCTCCCTCGTCGGTGGATAAATGATTAAGGCTTAAGTCCATGTCAGGGTCTTGAGCCCTCTTTCGGTCAAAATCTCCCGGACTGTTTGGGGCTTCGCATTCGGCAACTTAAATGTTTCAAGCTTGAACCAAACAAGATCTTGAGGTCTCAAGCGCTGAGTGCAAGGCTTTCCGCTTCAACTTTGGGCTTCAAGGACCCGGGTTTAATCCAACAGCTCGTCGCTGCCTGAACACGACACAGGACTCTTTGTGGGGATCGCTTCAGATTGCATACATATGCGAAACCCAAAATGCACCCTTCACGCAGAGACCCAGGAAACTAGCCCTGCCATGGTGTGGGAAAGGACTTGCAATGCTGGGGATGCGGCGACAGTACTTCCCATCGCCATCCTGCCGATCTCTTCTGGTGCCGGGTCCAACCATAGGTTTAGCAATTACAAAGCCTAGGCGAATGCAGCGCAGAGTTTAGGCTCAGATGTCTAGAACAGTTGGGGCTTTTCATGAACTTCTTCTGGGCTAGATTCAGGTTCATAGAGGATTTCAGGATTTGTGCATGGTAAGACTTTAACGACAGATCCAGATCAACCACTGACATTCTCAGATCGTGTTTCGCGTTCAAGGTCTGGTCGTGCTGCATGGCCATTATCTCAACACATCTGCTCATTGTACATTCCTCACAAGCTCGTATCCTGAGACCAGTACACGCCTGCGACACAGCTTTAAAGCTTGGGCACGACCGCACAAGCATCCACTCAACTTCTTATCTTCGTCTAACCCACCCAAAGCGACTGCACTGCTTCACGTCAATGGATAGAATTCAGAAGACGTCTGCATCCGTTCATGCAAGTCCGTGCCTTGAACAGCTTGAGGAGCCCTCCCGCCCGTAGGCATTCGTCGCAGGCCGGTGCCTGCTGAGCAGGCGCGGCCATCCCAAGCAGTTTAAACCCCCTTCCAGGCCCTTCCAGTCTTTCTCTGTCCGAAGCCGTCCATCGCACCCTCGAAGCCTGACTCCAGAAGCCTCCTCGTCGAGGCCCTTCCGTCGCCCTTGGCCTGCTTGTTCCACCTCCGCGCTGGCGCAGGCGCGGGCATGGGCGCCTGGCTCCAAAGGTCTGGGTCTGGGTTTCTCTCACCTGCGAGAGCTGCCGAGCCTGCTCTCCTTGCCACCAGGTCCAGTCGTTCCACTCGCTCCACCTCGGAACGAAGGGGGTCTTACCGAAAGTAAAGACCCCCGTTGAAGACGATTGTCCGGGGCCTTCGGGCGGCACCTGGGTTCGAACCCCAGTTTGGAAAAAACAACACCTGCAGCTCGAATTGAAGTGGGTCCAGCCTGTTGGTCACCCTGAAGCCAGACCTCTTGCAACATTCATTGTCTTCCCAGCTTCAGAAACCTTGAAGAGACCTCGCTTAACTCTGCAAAATCCCGAAGCTGCCACATCCCTTAAGATCCGAGGCAAGGGGCCCCAACCTAGCCGGAACCCACACCGACACCTGCCTGCTCTCAACCCCGAGTGCCCGGGCTCGGCATCTCCGTTCTGCCAGGCGCTCTCCTGACTGACTTTAGGAGTTAAAAATCATTTCTGGGCCTGTCCCTGCTTCAGCACCATCTCAATGCACCCTTTCAGTCGGTTTCCCGTTTCGGGTGACCTGTTGATCGGTAAATCAAGAAGAACGCTGAATTGCAGCGTGTCTGGCCTCCCACCCATTCGTGTAATTTCCGGACGCCGCCTTGGACGCACGGCAACATGTTCCGCGTTGAAGGCTTCAGCAATTCAGAGCGAACGTACTCGGACCTTGGGGCACCTGAACGATGTTGAAGGGTGAAGTAACTTGACATATGGGGCCTATGCTTGAGCAGGTAACCGCCCAGGAAGCTTAATACTGGGCGTGTGGATTGTGCGTCAGGTCTATGCTTTCGGGCAAAAAAGCAGCCTCAACAAACAGAATCTAGCGCTTCAGTTGCTTGGCCTTAATGTTAGATCCAAGCACAAGTGATTCAGTCACATCCTGCGACCTGGACTATAGAGACTCCCGAAACAAAACATCCCGAAACACTCAACTCCCAAACTCCCAACACCTCAATCCTGAAGCCGAAACACATCACCGAAGAGTGAGGAACGTGCAGGTGCCCAGGCGTTCTTCGATCCCGGCAGCCACCTCGGAAACCCAAGAAAGGAGCTCGCATAGCCAGAAGCATCCAATCTTTCTATCTGATGTCTTTCAAGGTGGATTTGTCGATATGACCAAACATAAGGAAAGCCCCAGCGTTCGGACAGACGAGCATGGGATAGGTTGGAAGAAGGACTCTGATCGCCAAGGACCCAGGACATGGTTCAGCAGCTGGCCAAATTGGGATTTCTTCGGACAACACACCATCCAAATTTTACAGGAGGCTGTCCTCGGGCAGGTATGTCTTCAAGCAAGGGGAAATGCGGTCGGTGATAGTGGATGATAGTGGTTCTTTCGATTACTCACCTAGTCTCCAGTGAAGCGGCTCATGTTATGGTGCGGCTGCGCAGGAGACATCTTCTTGCGTCATGCCAAACCGGAACCTCTCATCCAGGATTCCATCCTCGGACCATAATCTTCGACCTCGTCATAACTTAGGTTGTAATGCACCCTCGGAATCCAGGTTTCAATTTTTGACAACACCTTTCCTTCACCTCAGCTTTAGCAGCTGCAGGCCTATCAATCAGCTCTGGCGGCTCTGGGATGGAATTATAGGGCTGTGGAGGCATTAGCAGAGCAAACTTCTCAGCTCCTTGCGCTCGCCTCGGCTGAGGCGCCTGGCCAGGGAGCGGGGTGGCTTGGGCGAAGGCTTAAGGCAGAGGACGAGAGGGCCTCCGATAGGTCGTGGGTGCCACAACTCTGTGTCTCACGACACCTTGGAGCTTAGAACCGAGCATCCTGAGTCTCAACCCTTCCCGCCTCGGCATAGTCGCGGTGGCTGCCCCCTCGCCTCCTTCGAATGCCGATGGCAGTACTATAGCTCAAAAGCTCAAAGCGGTCGACACGGCTTCCAAACGATCTTACGAGCTCTGGCTTGGTTGGGCATCAGTGCTTCTGCACCAAAAAAATGTCGACGGATGTGGCTTCGGGTTCATGATGCAGGATCAGGATCTACGCTTTGGCACGCCCGACTGCACGAGGAAGCAGGTTGGAAGGCGACCGCGAGCCTTCTTTCCCGATGTGATGTTGGCTTCTCTCCAGTTCTTGGGACCCCTTGCCAAACTATCCGCAAGGCAATGCCGATGCAATGTGTCCTGGACGATGTTGCCTCCGTCCGCGGCCTGTGGCAGGAGCAGAATTAGTCTGCAACCCCAAGCGGGCCCGAAGACCAGAATCTTCGCGGTCCCTTCGTCACGCCGCCACTCAGACAAACGCTTACACACACACACACAAAGGCCGCAGAGCATAGGCCGATCAGCACGCACACTGCCCAATTCAACACACTCTCTACAGATCCCATTGCTTCAAGCTGTTGCATACCCAGCACTTGCTGGTAGTCTATACTCGTGCACCTGGAAGTATCTAGATCACCGGGCTGCATACCTAAACACTAAAAACGCAAAACAACTCGCATCCGAAGCCCGGCTGCACCTATCTTGTAAACTTAAAGGCCCCCGAAGCACAGACCTGAACCGACTGAGCCCTTGGCAGTTCAGGTGGCTCCTGCGGAACCGGTGCGCTCGCGGGCCTTGCGAGGATAAACCTTAGGGTCTCGGGTGGGTTCCCTTCAACCAAAACCCGCAAAACCCTCTTACTGGAGCATCTTCAAGGCTTCGAAACAAGAGAACCTCTTC